CGTTGATGATCGTAAGATCGGTTAATCGTTGATTTGGACGCGTACAATAAGGGACAGAATGTTAAATAAATTTATAAAAAAATAATCGATCTCCAGGATCCTTTTTTAAAATTTCCAAGTGTCGATAAATTTCTCTTCATCGTACCGTAATACGTTTCTGCAACGATCAATTCACCTAACAACTATACACGAATACGTATCAGCTTAATTTAGTTTCTTCTTTTATTTTGCCTAATAAACGTTTTTCTTGAATTACCGGCTAGTTAATATCTGGTTAATGCAAACAATATCGTGTTATAGACGTGTGACGATCAAACAGCGGTGTGACGAAAAGTTTTGACGGGTGAATTTCAGTGGCTTGACAAATGTTTGCGAGGCGCAAACGCGCGCAGGATTCGGCGGCGCGTGCTCGCCGATCCAGCGTTGATCGCTTCGCGCATTGGTAGATCAAATCTCCCTCGAGATTCACTGCTAAATTTCCCTTGGCGAATGATGATGTTGTCGCTGATCGTGGGTGCGAGTAGAGAACGTAGGAACTGATCACCGAACGAGGACCGAACCGGGGGAATCGGTGCGAGGACAATGTCCTGAGGACGGTGAATCGTCCAGCCGGAAATCGCCATCTCGAATCGCCAAATACGCGATCGTCGTTTCGAAAGATCTCCCATAAAAACGAAATAATCCGCTAAACCGTTTTGTCAACGCGATTCCATCACTTTTCTTGAACGTAAGCATCTTCTTTTTCTTTTTTTTATCTTTCTTTTTCTTTTTTTTTTTTCTTTTTTTTTAGACCAAAATCTTAGGCCAACGCCGAAGGAGAGATGTGCTACGTTGAATTTTTAGGCCACTGTCTAGTCGCATCTTAGAGTCGAAAATTTTCACAAAATTCTCCTTTTCCCCTTTGTTATTTTTCTTTTCTTTTCGTTTTTCAACACTTTAGTTTAACGTAAACTCTTTCGTTAACCAGTTAGCGATTCGACTCGACGATCGGCGATCTCCAGCTCGAAGACATCGTCGTACTAGCTCTTTTCGAGACTCGTTCGGGTTTTTGGATCGGAGGTAGGCCGGGATACGCGGCAGTCGAATATGTTCGAAATGTCTGAGCTCGAGACAATTCGCCGTGAGTGTCGCATTTGAATCTATAATTTCGATGCGGGGCGTAGAGGTGGGATTGGAAACAGGCAGTGTCGCGTGATGCGTGACACGATGGCGATTTGCGTGAAAGAACGATGAAACGCAAAACGTAAGAAACGCGGTTAAACGGCAAATAAAATAAAGGAAGACAACTCAGAGTCCAATCGTGTTGTTTTTATTCGTCGTAAATAATAAATAAAATAATAATCAATAAATCGTTAAAATTAAAATATTATAGTGACTCGTGACTAG